CATGTTTTTGAGTTTGGCTATTCTTACAGGTGCAAGATGGCACCTTTGAGTTGTTTTGATTTGCATTTCTCTGATGACTAAGGATGTTGAACATTTCCTTAATTGTCTTTCAGACATTTTAGATTCCTCTGTTGAGAGTTCTCTGTTTAGGTCTGTACTCCATTTCTTAATTGGATTATTTGTTCTTTTGATGACCAATTTCTTGAGTTCTTTGTATATTTTGGAGATCAGTCCTCTGTCTGATGTGGGGTTAGTGAAGATCTTTTCCCATTCTGTGGGCTGTCATTTTGTCTTGTTGACCATGTCTTTTGCTTTACAGAAGCTTTTCAGTTTCAGGAGGTCCTATTTATTAATTGTTTCTCTCAGTGTCTGTGCTACTGGGGTTATATTTAGGAAGTGGTCTTTTGTGCCAGTGTGTTCAAGTGTACTTCCCACTTTCTCTTCTATGAGGTTCAGTGTGGCTGGCTTTATGTTGAGGTCTTTGATCCATATGGATTTGAGTTGCATGCATGGGGATAGATATGGATCTATTTTCATTCTTCTACATGTTGCTATTCAGTTATTCCAGCATCATTTGTTAAATATGCTTTCTTTTTTCCATTTGATTTTTTTTGCTTCTTTGTCAAAAATACAGGTGTTTGTAGATGTGTGGATTAATATCCGGGTCTTCGATTCGGTTCCATTAGTCCTCCTGTCTATTTTTATGCCAATACCAGGCTGTTTTTAGTACTGTAGCTCTGTAGTAGAGTTTGAAGTCAGGTATTGTGATGCCTCCAGAAGTTCTTTTTATTGTACAGGATTGTTTTGGCTATCCTAGGTTTTTTGCTTTTCTACATGAAGTTGAGTACTGTTCTTTTGAGATCTGTGAAGAATTTTGCTGGGATTTTGATGGACATTTCATTGAATCTGTAGAGTGCTTTTGGTAAGAATGCCATTTTTACTATGTTAATTCTACCTACCCAAGAGCATGAGAGATCTTTCCACTTTCTGGTGTCTTCTTCCATTTCTTTCTTCAAAGATTTAAAGTTCTTGTCATACAAGTCTGTCACTTGTTTGGTGAGAGTTACTCTGAGATATTTTATGCTATTTTTGCCTATTGTGAAAGGTGATGTTTCTTTGATTTCTTTCTCAGCCCATTTATTGTCTATGTAAAGGAGGGCTACTGATTTTTTTTAAGTTAATCTTGTATTCTGCTACATTACTGAAAGTGTTTATGAATTGTAGAAGTTCCTTGGTAGAATATTTGGGGTCGCTTATGTAAACTTTCATATCATCAGCAAATAGTGAGAGTTTGACTTCTTCTTTTCCGATTTGTATCCCCTTGATCTCCTTTTGGTGTCTTATTGCTCTGGGACCTCAAGAACTATATTGAATAGATATGGAGACAGTGGACAACCTTGTCTTGCTCCTGATTTCATTGGGATTGCTGTGAATTTCTCTCCATTTAGTTTGATGTTGGCTGTTGGCTTGCTGTTTATTTCCTTTATTATCTCTTGTAATGAAGAACCTTTCTAAAGGGAAGCCTCTCCTTCCATTTAAAGCCCTCTTTTGCTGTTTATGGTACATTTTATTGTTCCTTTTCTAATGCTTCCCTGCCTCATGGCCGGATTGTGGTCTTCAGGACCTTTCTCCCATTAAACCTCATCCCGAAAGTCTTCTTTTGCCTGCCAGCTTCTCTCTTGAACCAACTATTGTTCTCTTATTGCTAATGCCAAATAGTTTATTTATGGTTACTTGTGGGAACATGAGTGGATGGTTTTTAAATAGTTGAACTTACCCATCGCTACATCACTGAAGAAAATCTCTCTCTCCCCCTAGTAACTATTAACTGCCTATGTAGCCTCAGGAGGGGTAGAACCTCATGAGCCCACTTGTCCTTCGTTAAAGAAGGTCAAGGGGTCCAGTGTTGTGCAGGTAATAATAGCCACTGTTCGGAAATGCAACAGCTCAGCATGTGATGTCCAAAAACAGTGTTTCCCCAGCACTTATTTTCTTCCTGTCACTTCTTCCTTTGGCCTTGGAGGGGCCAGTAGTGATGTCCCCTTTGGACCTGAACACTTATTCTCTAGACTTTGACCAGCAGTAATTGCCGCCCACCACAAGGAAACTTGTCTGACCAAGGCTGTAGCAGAACTAGTCTCTGAATATAAACATTATATTACATAGGGCATTTGGTACATCCTTTATGTCCATTTTTATTATTCTTAATCATAGGTTTAAAATTCTGTCATTTTTATGTCATGTTTGTGTTTCTGTAAGTGTCTTTAAATTCCTTTTATTTTGGGTGAACATAAATATTTCTCTCATTGAATCTGTGTAAGAAATCACGTTCACAGTCTGTACACCTGTTCATATCTGTAATTGTTTGCCTCCCATATATGAATGGAACCTGGTGACATGAATTAACATTGTAAGAGTAGTTTCTGTCTTGCATGGGACAGTGAACTTCCTTATTCAAGAGACCAACTGATGCATTTGGCCACTTAGTAGATTGGTTATTTAAATGCAAATCAAATCTCTTTGGGGATGGAATTATGGTTAGTTTATCAAAGTATTCCAGAAATACACTGTGTTCATGACACATCCTGATTATGAATATTCTTCTTGGGTTTATTTGATGAGAAGTCTGATACTAGGAATAGGTAATATAAAATAGTGTGTGTGTGTGTGTGTGTGTCTTGCATACATTTCTTACAATTAGGTTATGAGGATTCCAAGCACTGAACCAATTTTTAGAGATTTCAAATAAAGAATCAAAGCTCTGGGGGCTGGAGAGATGGCTCAGCAGTTAGGAACACTGACCACTCTTCCAGAGGTCCCGAGTTCAATTTCCAGCATCCACATGGTGGCTCACAACCATCTAGAATAGGATCAGATGCCCTCTTATGTTATGCAGGAATACATGTACATAGAGCACACACACACACATACACACACATATATAATACATAAGTAAATTTTAAAAAAAGAACCAAAGTTCTGATGAAAAGCACAGTTTGAAAAACAAGCATATTAGAAAAAATATTTTAAAATACAAACTGCTTATACATGTCTAGGGTCCCCAAGAGTATACAAACTGGGGAACAAACAACCCATCAATTGGTGCTGTTCCTCATATGAAGCATGTTTTTGGATCATTTATAGCAGTATCTGTAGTGAGGGTGCTATTTCTATTTTAAAATAAAACTTCCACTTGCAGGCAGCTCTGGAAAAGGTTGCTAAAATCATCCGACAGTTAGATTTGCAGATAAGCAAGAGGGAGGTGGATTTGAAACCCCGAGTCTTAGAGGCTGGTTAGAAGAGCCCAAACTTGAACCTAAGACTTATAACACCCAGTTCAGGGCTTGTCATCTCAAAATACACCACACATCAGGCTGAACTTCAGACTGAGATCATAGGGAAGACAGAAATGGCACTAGGTGATGACTCGGTGCCTGAAGTGCATGTTGGCTTTGGCACTATTCCTGGAGAGACAAAAAAAAAAAAAAAAAAAAAAGTGTACTTGCTGCACAGAGGGGACTGACAGCAGTCGGAAATAAGACCACCACCAAAGCCCCGTTAGTCAACTGATGTTTTTATTGGTGTTACTTATTGGAGTATGGATGAGGGGTTACTTACAAGAGCAGAGATGATTTAATGACAGCAGCATCACCAAAGCCCACCTGAGCCTGGGTATCAGCTCATGAAAACCGTAAACCTGGAGCACCTGCACAATGTGCAGGCACCTCAATGGGCTGGAAAACGTCTCTTTCAGGCAGCTCATGTGATCTTAGCCCTTTCCAGGCAGTTGGCTGGTCTGCCTCTCCTGGGCAGTTAGGCTTTTCTGAGAGTGTCTCTCAGCAGTCCTTCCTGCCTACATATACTTTGAGAAAGAGGGACTTAGTGAATCGGATCAGTTTCAGGGACTTCCTGAAGCTTTTGAGTTGTTTACTTCCTGAGCCTAAAGAGATTCCCTGTAGGATGAATTTCTTCACCTCCCTCAGGACGTTCTGTTTCTTAACAAGTTCCCCTCCATGATGAAATGTTTTATCTCAGAGGAATTTGTTACACATTGGGGGAGCACATGTCTATTATCCAAATGCTGGGAGGTAGAGGCAGGAGGATCCCTGAAATGGAGAGTTTCAAGTTCAATGAGAAAGCCTGTCCCTCTCTGCCGCCCTCAAAATGATAGAGTCATAGAGGAAGACAGCTGATGTTGACCTCAGGTTCACACACACACACACCACAGACAGACAGACACACACACATGCGTACACTTACACACAAAGAGAAAGAGACAGAGAGAGACTATGTAGAATTTCATCACAATTCCAAGCCCAATATATTAAAATTTTATCGTTCTAACTCATGACAGCAGAAGAAATAACTTTATTTATAGAGTGCATTTCTGATTGAATAGAATTTATGTGAAACATTATCAGAAGTTATCCTTTGTATTGAGATGTTCTAAGCCATGAGACAGACCTTTAATTTCTCTAATATCAATATTACTTTATCTGCAAATTAACGTGTTTACAAAGGCATTTTGTAAACCTTTTTCCTTTTTATTGAAATTGAATGTAAAATTATTACCTGTGCCATAACTGCTTGACTTTGTAGTATTGTAACAATAACTCTAGGAAATAAGGATAACAAAGATATAACAGTGGTAATATTAATGGTCATTAGATTTTCTGTTATGTTTTTAATCAAAACTATGAACAGTTGCCTCGCTAAGAATTCAGTCTTATCCTGCAGTGCTTACCCTGGATTGTATAGCATAATGAAACAAAGTAACTTTTAAACTTTAATTATTCTTTTTACTTTGTAAAAAAGATATGCATCACAAAAATTAGTATAATTTAACATGCAATGATTTTGTAATATTGACCCTATATATTAGAGCATTGAAGTTAGACTTATTTGTAATCTTTTTACTTTTGTATTTTTCATAGATGGCCAATGAGTTTTCTATGTGCATTCCTTTGTTTTTGATTTTTGTTTTTTGTTTTGTTTTCCAGGTGTACATCTCTGAAGTAAGATGATTTGTCAGAAATTCTATGTGGCTTTGTTACACTGGGGTAAGTTGCATGCACTTTTGTGTATTTGGGAGGATATTTCTGTAGATTAATTTCTAAAGAGACTTTTATATTGAACAGCAATTTGGTGTTTTGGGGTCCCAACCCATGTCTATAAATAACTGTTCTTGTGCAGTTCCACTAGCAATGCATGTCACCATTCCTTCACCTTTTACCACATCAAAGAAGACAAGTATTGTGTTTCAATTTTATTGATTTGAATTTTATGTGTGTGTGAGGTTGGGCAGTTAGTTGACTATATTTCTGGTGAGATTTTTTTGTTTTACACTTCAAATACCTGGTTGTTGAGTTTGTTGGTCTGAGATAAATTTTAGGACTTTCTAAACTGTAAGAAATTTTAACTGTGTTTTAAAGCTCCGTAAAGAAACAGAACTGATGATGATGATATGTGTATGTATGAGTATACACATGTGCACATGTGTTCACACATGTGTGCATATGTTTATAAGCAAATGGATCATTTAATTTCAAAGACTGAGAGCTTCTAAATCTGCAGTTGGAAAACCAGAGACTCAGGAGAGCCAATGGTATCTAAGTGCAAGGTCTGAAACACACACACACACACATACCTACAATCACATATATAAATACAGGTGTAAACTTTTGTAGTCATGACAGTATGACGCTCTGAGGGGGATATTATCAAGGAATGCTGCATATGTTTGGAATGGTCACTGAATACCAAAAGAGTTAAATATATGCCTATCCCTCCTCTCACCAGTTGTAGACTTATCCTTCAGAGGAAGCTTCTTCAGCTGTTTTTTGTTTTGTTTTTGTTTTGTTTTAATGGTCTTGTGGTTTTAGTGAACCATCATTTTCAAACATTCTCCTGTTTGGAACTAGCCATACGTTGCCCATAACGTTTTTTTTTTTGTTGTTGTTGTTTCTTTCTTTTTTTTTTTTTTAACATAGGGAAACCTAGTTTATTATTTAGTTTTTTGGTGCCTAGACTTTTTTTCAAATTCATTTGTAATTATAACGTATGTATTTTGTTACTATGTATTTATCACATAAGAAATGCTTTGGAATCTGTAAAATATGGAGAGTTGAAATTAATGGATAAGTGTATTATGTCATATCATCATTTCAATGCTTTAAGCACTTTATATCTGCTCACCTAACATTTTCCAAGAAGGTATATATTGTCACTATCTACAGTTGGTGCACTGTGTGTTAGATCTTTGGCCCTTCTCCTGTCTAAGTATAGATATACAAATTATTTGACTGACTCAGCCACAGCTTCCTCTGCTATTTCATGATTCACAGTCTGCTCTCTACTTGCTTAAGGTAGATTCATTTAGAACTCACATGGCATTGAAGTCATGTGGCATTTGCCTTTTTGTGCCTGGCTTTACTTAACATATGCTCTCCTTGTGTTGAGAACGGTAGCTTCCTTTCTTTTATGATTGAATAATATCTGTTGTTTGAGAGTGTCTGTAAATTGATTGTCTCCCAGTGATCCATTGTGATGGGAAATTTGGTCCTTGGATGATGGTATCAGGAAGTGCTGTGGAACCTTTAAATTCTGGCTCCTAGTGGGTGTTATCCTATCTAACAAACCTGGCTTCATCCAATGCTCTGCTCATACCTGACCCCATGGTATCCTCCTGCCACTGATGTTCACACCATCAGGTGACATCCTTGTTGACAGAGGTTTCTGTCCTGTCCAGTCCCGCAGCCGTTCAGTCCCCCCAAAACACACACAGGTCTACATTAATTATAAACTGGTTGGCTTATTAGCTCAGGCTTCTTATTAACTAATTCTTACATCTTAGATTAACCCATTATTCTTGCCTATGTTGGCTTGATACCTTTCATCAGCGAGGCATTCTCATCTTGCTTCCTCTCTGTCTGGGTGACAACTGCAGACTGAGCTTTCCTCTTCCCAGAATTCCCCTGTTCTCCTTGCTTCACCTCTACTTCCTGCTGGCTGTCTTGCCTATACTTCCTGCCTGGCTACTGGCCAGTCCGCATTTTATTAAACAAGTACAAGAAGCAAATCTTTAAAGGGTAAAACCATTGTCCCACAGCACTTCCTTGAATATTTACTATGTTGTTTGACTTTTTAGTCTCCAAAACTAAACCCCTTTTATTGTAAAGCTAGGCTGTGTCCAATATTTCATTATGGAAATGAAAAGCTGGTCAGTGCAAACATGTGTACATAAACAATCCTTTACCCATTGATTTGTTAATACTTAGGGTGACTCTGTATCATGAGCAGTGCTATGACCAGCACGAGTGATTTTGCTTTATTTGATAGACATTGTAGTAGGGTTGCTGAACTGCATTCTCCCATTTCTGAGGCATATTGGTGCTTTTTTCCCTAATGGCTGTACTGATGTACACACCTATCAATGGTGTGTGAGGAGTCTTCTTTCTCCGTACCTTGGTCAATGCTTGTTAGTTTTGTCTTTTTAAGAATGGCTTTCTAACATGAGTGGGTGACATATCATTGTGATTTTGATTTGACTGGTCAGCTGATTAGTGAGGATGAGCTACTGTAAGGGTGTTTTGCCTGCCTGCATGTTTGTGCATGACATGTGTACCTGGTGCCCATGGAGGTCAGAAGAGGGTTCTAATTCTCTGAAACTAGAGTTACAGATCTTTGTAAACCACCCTGGGAATGCTGGGGATTGAACCTGGGTCTTCTGGAAGAGCAACAGGTGCTTTTAACTGCTGAAGCATCTCTCCAGCTTTTTGTGTATCTTCTTTTGGCAGATATTTATTTGTATCTTTTGAACATCTTAAAATAGGGTTGCTTTAAAGTGTTTTTAATTCTTTGAGAATTTCATACACGTATACAATATATCTTTGTCACATTCATCTTCTACCCCCATACTCTCAATCTCCCTCCCAATGTCATAATCCTCCTTTTCTTTTTAACCCACAGAATTCAATTAGTGCAGTATTGGTGCAGGGTCCCTTGTTTATTTTGTATAGTAACCCCATATTGGGCACATAGTTTACAGACATTTTATCCCATTCTGTAGTTTGACATCTAAAGAGTCACTCTGTTGAATATTTCCTTCTCAGAGATGAACTAGAGTTTGACATAATCTTTGTCTTTTTTGTTGTTGTTGTTGTTGTTGTAAATGCCTGTGATTTAGGAGTATGTCTCAAAATATCACATAGCTCAATCTCAGTGTTTCCCAGCTTGACTTTAGTCTAGTCATAGTTACAGGTCTGCTAGGCCACGAATCCATGTTAAGTTATTTTTGTGTATGATGAAGGATGATGGTATAGTTTCTTTTTTTAAAAATTTACTTATTTATTTATTAAAGATTTCTGTCTCTTCCCCACCGCCGCCTCCCATTTCCCTCTTCCTCCCCCAATCAAGTCCCCTCCTTGTCAGCCCAAAGAGCCATCAGGGTTCCCTGCCCTGTGGAAAGTCCAAGGACCACCCACCTCCATCCAGGTCTAGTAAGGTGAGCATCCAAACTGCCTAGGCTCCCACAAAGCCAATACATGCAGTAGGATCAAAAACCCATTGCCATTGTTCTTGAGGTCTCAGTAGTCCTCATTGTCCGCTATGTTCAGCGAGACCGGTTTTATCCCAGGCTTTTTCAGACCCAGGCCAGCTGACCTTGGTGAGTTCCCGATAGAACATCCCCATCGTCTCAGTGTGTGGGTGCACCTTTCGCGGTCCTGAGTTCCTTGCTCATGCTCTCTCTCCTGGTGCTCCTGATTTGGACCTTGAGATTTCAGTCCGGTGCTCCA